AGCGAGGAATTGAAGAAGTCTACAGGAAGAAGTAATCAAGAGTATATTAAACATTTGATTAATTTACAAAAGAAAATTCTGATGAAGGGTAATAAAGTTAGTTTGACCGAATGATGTTTCCGCTGATTTCATATTCGACAACCTCCGTATACCTGGAAAAAATAAAGTACATGTTAGAACTAGCATAACATGAAGTTAACAAGAGATAATTCTACATATTAGCATACAATATGAATACAATCATTCTGTTAAAACTAAGTATTATCTCAGGGAGATAAATGTATTTGTAGTCTACAGCTGATATTTATGTTGACGCCGTATACATAAATATACATCATATGTTTTCCTGCATTTGAGGACTATATGCAAATTTCAAGGCAATCTCCGAAACATTCATACTATTGAGGCGTCATTCTCTCATCAAGCTTACTTGCAGATCAACTTCACACTAAACACTTTTACATGAAATGAAGTATTGCAAGTGTATAACTTAGAAGTTAATCCACAATCTCAGTAATGTCTAGTCCACAAGGTTTTGTGAATCCTACAGAAATCACATTTTCACATTTAGGAGACTATAGGCATCAAATATAAGCTGAACATGCCTCAACTCTAGACAGCTATGCACAGTGCTAACAACATAGTGAAACACTTCAACTATTGTAAAGTACACAGACCTGTTGTGTTGATGAGGATAATAATGTCATATAATGCAAACTAGAAAATTCAATCGTCATAGAGCATCTGTACTGCTTTGTCTAAATGGAAATCTCAGGAGAAATTCATCTCCACTATTGGTGATCAAAAATATTGTAGCATTAAGTATACAGTCAGTGGAAATTGTAAAAGAGAATAAATTCATATTAATGATAATAAAGCTGAATAGATTCAGTTCTAGTAACCACCTTCGTTTGTTATCCTATCAGTCAGCTTAGTACACAATGGCACAATATTATTATAGTTGAGATATTTTTGTACATTTAATTAACATAACCCATAGCACACTGCACCAACCAGTGCCAATATATATGAAATCCATTTAGAGATAACCTTTCAACTTACCATAATTCCTGTCCAACCACAGATAAAGTGAAAAGCACATCTAAATGACAACTTAGGTTCCCACCAACGATTCTGATAACATTTGCAGGTGATTTCCAAGTATTGAGAGAATTATTTTGTCAAAAAAGACTGTTCTTCACACGAAAATAGGCTGTACTGATATCCTGAGACATGAAGTCTTCATTGAATGATACTATGCCGAAAGATGCAGCTTCTACATGGAGTAAATGAGTGGTGTAAATGGCATTACCCTCTAACTATCCTATCTCCCTCATTACACCGACATTTTGATACATTCCATCTGAAACACTAATCATTGCAACCAATATGCTAAAAGTGTGTCGCAGTCAGATCACATGAGGCGGACACCAACATAACCAGCCAAAAAGTGGGAATTTCCCTCAATCTAGATAACATATAATACAATTTTATTAAAAATTATTGGCAAAAAAAATTCCAAACGTAACTTCTAGAGTACGTGACGAATAAGTCCAGCCAATAGACATTTGAGAATAAAAAACCTCAGTATTTTGAGTCATATACTGTACTGAAGGTTCTATGCCAGGACATTTAGAAAGAACAAGGCTCTTTTAGGAACTTCGATAAGGTTTACTATAAGTCTGGTAAGTATCCGAAATCAGCTAGCTAATCACTGTGCAGAAAATTGATAAAGTGGGAAGTTTCTTATGACAGGAATCTTTGAGGAAACACTATTAAGTTATTAGGTAGACTTTATTTTGTAAAGCCTTGCTGTGTATCTCTTGAAGCGATTAGCAGTCACCGGCAACATAAATTACTAAACACACTTTCGTAGTTGTAAATTAATACCGTCCTCACAGGCAGTAAAAGCACTTGTTCACTGAAGTCACTATCGTTTTGTAGTCACGTATATGTATTGATAGGATTATGAGCAACATACTACATTCGAAATGCCATCCAGCTATTAAAAATGTGTCAAATCCAGTTATATGTCTTGTCCTAATATTATAAATGGGAATATTTAAAGATTAGCCTACTCAGTCCCTCGGTCCTGATGGTGTTCCTGCTGTCATCCTTAAGAAGTGTGCCGACATCTTGTGTTCCCCGCTAACTGACATTTTCAACGAATCGTTTTTCAAAAGTATTATACCTGAATCATGGAAAAACATCAAGATCGTTCCAGTGCCTAAATATACAAGTGGACCTAGTGTTAAGTTTAGACCTATTTCAATTACCTCACCTTTCTTGAAAGTTATGGAAAGACTTATTCTACTTAATCTTGATCCCTCTTTAAAGCCCTTCAACGACCCCGACCAGTTTGCTTATAAACATAGTAGGAGTACGTTAGATGCCGCTGTTGTCCTCCACCATAGCATAGTCTCTAGTTTAGATAAAGGGGCTAAATACGTTCGCTGTGCCTTCCTTGATTACACATCTGCATTTGACTCTGTTCCCAGGTCTCTCTTGCTAAGTAAGCTTGCTGCAACACAGGCTGAAAGCTGGACAAATAAGTGGTTGCAGTCCTATTTTTCTGAAAGGAAGCAGTACACCGTCTACAATGGAAAATCCTCCACTACCTCACTTACTTTAGCAGGCGTTCCTCAAGGCGCTGTTCTCTCTCCCTTTCTGTTTTCGTTTTTCTTACATGACTTGCCTCATTCTGATGTAGCCACTTTTGTTAAGTATGCCGACGACCTCTCGGTTTCTATGCCTGTCAACTCTCAGTCAGATTGTTCCAAATTAAATAGCTTTCTGTCGGAAATTAGTCAGTGGTCCTCTTCAAACGGACTTAAGCAGAATCCGTCTAAATGTCAGGTAGTCAATTTCACTTTCAGACGTAAATGTGACCTACAGCAACTAGTTAGCTCACATGGCCCCACTCTCATTGACGGCACAGAGGTTGAAAATACATCTAATGTGAAGTTCCTTGGGCTGAGTTTTTCCACCGATCTTTCCTGGTCTTCCCACATCTTGCTAGTTACTAGAAAGATGTTTCGCTTAACGTTCTACATTAGGAAATTTAGGCAGTCTGGTATAAAGCAGTCTTTGCTTTCTCAGTTTGTAAATTCTTGTATTCTACCCATCCTCCTTTACTGCTCCCCATTAGTCTTTCCTGGACTACTTAAGAAAGACTTTGCTTCGCTGAGAAGGGCACTAAAAGCTGTTAGTAGGGCAAGTGGGATATCGTTAGACCAACTGGTGAACACTACTGTAGATAGACATATAATGTCATGTAAGAAACTAGCGAATACAATATTGTCGGACCCCGAGCATCCTCTCTATACGCATCTATCTCCTTGCATTTCATCTGGAAGAACTAGAAGCACATATAGGAGGCTATATGCTAGGACTACCAAATACAAAAACTCCACAATACCATATCTGGCACAGCTGTTATGTGATGAGAAATCTGTTAGGTATGACACGATAAACTTACTGCGGCACTCTAAAAAATAGTCCCATTAGTTTTTATTTTCCTTTCCTCGTTACTACTACACTGTTGTTCTCATCTACAACCACACATCAACTTTATATTTCAAATCCTGTGGTGCATTGTTTGGAATGAAATACTCTACGCTGTTTTTTTTCTTAATTTTTAATATTTATTTATTTTATTTATTTATAACTTATTTATTTTATTTTTATTTATTTTTGATTTTTAAAAATCTTATATAATTTATGAGGTAATTAGATGCAATATACTGTAATGCACGCTGAAAATTCCATACCTGTACCACAAATACTGTTTGGAATAAAGCTGTTATTATTATTATTATTATTATTAGAAATCACGTATGGATCCCAGTGCATTAAAGGCACTCAATGAGTACTTGAATTATAATGCCAGACTCACAGAAGCGAAAACATGTTTAGATTACTTATGTGTCCTGTTCTAAAATTTAGTTATCTAATACCGATAAATCAATTACAGACGGTGAAAAAATAAACTTTTGAAGAGACGAGCTTGTAATCTCTGACTAGAATCCAAAACATAACAGGACTGTTCCAAATAGACTTCACGTAATTTGAAGAAAAACCGAGTGGTTGCAAACGGAATTATACTGATAACAGACTGCTGAAGAACTGCAAGATAATTGTACTAATAAAAATAGATCAGATAAACATGGTAAACACCCTCGAATATGAGGTCATCCAGCATCCACAAAATAAGAACATACGGTTTTAATACAAAATCACTTGCATTTAACAAATATGCAATGAACCACAAAGAGCCTAATTAACAAAAAATGCAAAGCGGTTTAAAGGTGCAGTATTAAACACGGAATTACTCATTGCAAAATCTTGAAACAATGATGTTGTTGGAAGTTTTAACTGGCACTTTATCAGAATAGTAGAGGTAGAAGTTAGCTCGTCAAGGCACGATGAAGCAAGCCTGTCGAATTCGTCCCTCTGCCGTATGATATTTTAAAAGAGCTTGATTGGCTCCAAAACATCACTGTGAGTTTCTAGTAAGTTTCGAATTTTTTCGGGTGACTACAATGTGAAGCTCTATTGTGTGAGAATTTCTGGACGTTAACTGCAAGTTTGAAAAGCATTTCGGTCCACAACATGAACCCCATTACCCTCAGTACATGTAAGTGTGTTCCCCAGAAATTTCAGGGGCGCACTTGCCAGACTGAACACCCACCAGTTACCAATTTTCCACCAGCAGCTTTTGATACAGACCTATTAATCAAGCTTTGCACTAAATATAACATCTTGATTTTGGTCAGTGGACTGAACAGTTAACTACATTCAAAGTAAACTTCGTAACATTTTGAAAGCTGATTTCATCTTCAAAATTTGTGAAACATTATTTATTTATCATGAATTATTGACATATAACATGTTTTTATGATTGTTGTCATTATGTTACCTCAAAAGTTTAAAAGCATCAATTGAGAATTGTACGAATGTACAGATGATTCCCCTTTCTTTAAATCATGCGCTGAACTTTCAGGCGCGGCCATCAAGTTATGGGTGAACGGCCTGCAGGTTTGTGCATTATTGTGAATGGTGTGTTGTGGTGTATGCTTTGGTCTATATTTCTCGAGGCGCGTGTCCGTCTCAATTTTTTGTCCTTTTCTCGTATAACACATCGAGGTAGCCATCGGCCTAACATTTTTTTGTTTGTATACAGGTCACCAACACCAGGTCCCAGTACCCGTTCGGATACCGTTGTCCGCTATTCGTGCCCAGCCACGATCGCTTGGAAATATTGTTCCTGCAACCGTGAGTTATTTTTTGGAGCGGATATTTTTATACAATGTCGTATAGCTATGTAATATGTTGAGATGTTTATGGGTAACCATACACATGAGTCGAAATCGGGTATGTCACTCCTGGTTCCGTATATTGATAAATGCAGTTTAGTTATACTGCTGTGTCCATTACTTATTCAAGCTGAATTCGGCCATAGATGCCTAGTGGTTTCCCTCTATGTGAGTCTAAATTGTCGACCTTCGGTGAATAAATGAATGCCTTTATATATATTGTATACATGTATATACATACACATTTATAACAAGTTCATAAGTTCTACAATTCCCTAAATTTGTTTTATGTAGCTTGTGCAGTTATGCAGGCCTAGTCAGAACTACTTACTGAGTAAATCAGTATTACTGCAAACCTCAGTTGTATGTTGACACGTACCAGTTAGATGCCCTCATCGTCACTCCTACATTTGTAGCTATGTTAGTGGTATTCTCGTCACTCGAAAATATGAAAAATTGCCTACACCCATTACATTCAATCCTGTTTGGACAAGCCTAGCCTAGCGCAATGGACAGTTCAATAGATGTCATCTACCAAAGCCATTCAAGTTGCTACTAAATTCACGCAGTGTTCCCTTAAGTAATGTACTATCCTTTTCAATCTTGTTGCCTACATGCTGATTAAGATTCGAGTTCTTGTTTTGGCGTGCTTTAATTATGCTTGGTAAGACCGGATGCATTAGTCAAATATTCACAATATTCTGATTACTGTCTGTTTCATCGTCTCAGCGAGACTGACCCTCACTTTGTTTAAGAGCTTGCAAAAGTATTCATTTGCCGCATATGGTCAAATAATTAGTTATGTTTTACTCTAAGAGTTTAAACCCTTAAGGGAAAACCCCAGATAACTCAGTTTTCTGTCCTAATGTTAAATTTCACCATTCCTTCCTTTAGAAATGTGCTTAAACCTAGTCGGCGTGTCCATTCAACGTATTGTTACTGATAGGACTCTTGTTTATGTTATGTTTCAGGCACCTGAATCATACTTCAAAATCTTATTGGCCAGTCTCGCAGTTCCTACATGGTTCAAAATCACCATACCTATATTCTATTCCTCATTGTTACGTAAATCCAAGTTGGAATTACGTCTCGTTACATAAATTACTTTTGTCTTCACGTGACTTCGTAGGCCTTTTTGTATTAATTTCTTTTTTTGTTTTTGTCACCCACTCTAACGTACAGATGTGAAATGTAGAAACCTGGATTATTGCGGCGTAAAGTCAGCGGCTTCAAGGTCAATTTACTTTATTGTAACCCTTGGAGCGGTGTGTAGCATGTAACAAATGTACTAGTGAAACTAAATTAACGGAGTACTCTGGATAAGAACTACACCTATCTCATTATCCATCACCTCTAAACTCCGCTGTTGTTTAGTAACCGATAAGTAACGTGCTTATAATAGATATTGGAGTCAAATTTACTTATAGTTATCAAGTTGTGCATAGAAAACATTTGCGGATAGAACTTACGCAGTACAAAATGGAGACGGTATTAACTGACTATAGATTAAGTCCGGATCACGAGTAAGTTGTACAGTGGTCAGATAAGACCCCTTTATGAAAACACTATATGCTTCCTACCTTATCTCATGGTGCAGGTTTATTGACAGGGTCCCTCATATCGTTGTGAACCAGTGTACTTCCTGGAAATAGTCTACTGATATAAATGTACGGAAGTTTTGCGCTTCGGTTGTTGACGTTGCGTGATCACACCTGGTGACATCTTCAGCACTAAATCTATATAGCAACTAGGCATATTTACTAGTCACATGAATGATCAAGCTTTGTTCATTCTTTCGTTTGAACATGGAAATATTTTCTCTTCCTTAAAGTTAGTTTTTAATTTTATCTCAGGTCCCGTGACATGTAGAGAGGAAAAAGAAGACCAGGCAACAAGTGATATTTCCTCAGAACACTGGCTTATTCGGCTTAAGGTTCGTCTCGTTTATTTATATTAAGTCTACCTGCATCTGTCTTAAAAAAGGAGTAGCTGGCACGCGAGGTTGTGTGAGATAAAAGCCATCTCTTTTAGGTTAGATTGTATTGATGCATGTTAGCTCTCTTGTTGAGGTTTTCAAAGTTATCCAGTTGCTCAGAATTCCATCAGATATGTTTTAGAATCCAAACCAGTGGTAGTCTTAGTCTTGTGGTTTCTTTCACTATCAACCAACAGAGAAAGAAGTCCCTTTAGTGCATCAGTGGGGGTTCTTACTCGTTATTTGTTTTCCCATAATTACATCCTCCTTTATTTTGTGCCACACATCTTGGTGCCCGTTTCACATCAATTTTTTTATTAATTTAATGATTGGTTTTTAAAAAAGTTCCGCTTCATATTTTAAAACTGTCATTAATAAGTTTCATCACCCTCCACATGAGACACTTATGCACAGAATTTTTGGATATTTCTTAAAGGTTCCTCGCCATTCCATGGTGAATCAGGTGTACTTGCTTCCAAAGTCTGGGGTCACCAGCAATGTACTTCCAAATACGCCAAGTGTGATGCAAGTTCGGAGTCTGGCCGTTGGTCAAGCTGTGCTTCAACCAAATGGTATGCTTACTAGTGCCCCCGTTATGCCTCGTGAGTTTCGTAGTAAGTAAGCATATATTCTTATACAATGCATGTTTTCAATTCAAACTCACCTCACTTATTCACTCATCTAGGTAGTTTGGTTATTGGTTATTATGATGAGATATACCACGTGTTATCATTTATGTGTTGCTACAGTTCTGCGAAACTTAACGTCCTAGGCATCTCATTTAAAAAACCGGTACATTATGTACCATATGTTGACCATATCTTAAGTTGATGACCACCACTGCATATATGCGTCTTACTGACAGGTTTCAGCGTAGGACTTTGCACAAATGTGCAGCACTTCGAGTTGCCACTCTCCATGTAGTACACAAAGCAAGCGAAATGAGTAAAGAGAGATTCAAAACAGAAATAAACATATGAGGCAAAAGGAAATAGTAATATGGAGGAACAATATAGTTTTATTGAATATTATAAATCACAAGGAATGGGTGCATCTACGTCATGAGAACGATTTCGAGCGTGTGCGTCGGTGGCACAGTGGTTGTGACTCTCACCGATCACGCACATGGTCCGGGGTTCGATCCCCTGCCGATGCACACCTGATATCTATGGTCGGTCTGCAAAATTTGGGCTACCGATATCCATGCTGAAAATTCCATACCAAAAATACGGTGTGGAATCAAGCTGTAATAAAAAAATTCGATGGTTGTCCTCATCCACTGGTTTTCACCATTCCGAGGAACCCAACTTGGAAGTCTAATCCTCATGACGTGGCTGGCTTAAACTAACTGTTGTAGATTTCATTGACTGATGAGGCCATGTTTTGGTTTGACCACCACTAGCCCTTTTTCAACCTGATCTTTCCTATGTCATCTCATCGCCTGTCGAGGAAGGCGATGGCTAGGTATGCATAACACATGTCCTAACCACCTTATTGGATGCAGCTGCTTGACGGCCTCGTCAATTGATTTCCCCTTCTTACCTAGCAGTCGACCGCTACCTCACCTCAATACTTCTCACCCTATTATACTACCTAACACGTCATCCACTTTCAATGGCCATGTCTCACAATCGTAAAGGTGGACGGAGAGAACTGGTGAGCAGTACACCCGCTCTTTGGTCGATAGGTGAATATCACGTCTACACCAGAGATGGCACATGCCAAGCGAGCCTTCTGCATCGGTGCTGAGATTTCGTCAACGATCAACTCCTCTGGCACTGGCTGACGCAACTCCCCAAATAAGTGAAGTGGTCAACACGCCCCATCACTTCACTTCTGCTTATCTTTAAACTAGGAGTGAGTCGATGTCGTCCAGTCCTATAGCATCATCTTACACTGGGCGGCAGGAACGAATCACGTGCCAAACATTCGACGACTGCTCCTCCTCAAGGTGTTCAGAAGACAGCATATTGTGAGCGTCCTCACCTAGAAGGACTGTATCATCGACATATTCTAAGTCAAGAAGATTACTCGCTGGTAACAAGTCAACTTCTGAGTCACTGAAGTCAATTAGGGTTAAGTCCATTATTACATCTAAGACGAAATTAAACAGAAATGTGGACAGTGAGCATCCTTGAGGGACACCATTGGTTGTCACCACTTCAGAGGATAACTCTGTATGAATTCGAGTAGAATGCCTTGACCATTGCAATGCATTTTCTCTGCATTCAGGGAGGTGTTGGATGCTCAGTAGGTTGACTGTGGGTGTATGCCAGCTAAATTACTCCTTAAAGTGTTTTTTTTCAACATTCCAATTATGGTGCAAGAGATTGTTTCACTCATCATTCCCCTTTTGCCACCTGTTTCCTTGGTTGTCTGGTGTTACCTATTGCTGACGCCTTTTCCATCTCTTTCGCTTTTGTCGTTCACCACTGTTCATGGTCGTTATGAAGCTTTGTGGTTAGTTTGCGTTCGGAGCTCTCCGGGATTAGTCTTCTTGAATGAATCAGTTCAGATGTGGTAGTAGAAATCTACTGGCTCTTACTAACTTTTGGTTTCAGGTTATTAATAGCCTTTACAGCTAAACTGTATGTTGTGCCAGACCTCTTCAGGAACACGTTAACATATTCCTTTAAATAGGGACTCAGTGTCCTGATCAAGTTGGGGGGGAGGTAACTGCCTCGCTGCCAACAATTTTTTTGTGTCCGTTTAATCATAAGCAGGCATAAACTTCTGGGGACCTAGGACGTGATAAGAGTCTACGCACGTGTTTAAGAAAGAGCGGGATTCTTTTACTGATCTTTGCCAACGATAGCCTATCTATGTGGTCTGTTTAAGTCTAATGCTGATTTGGTGATTGATTGGAGAGATAGATAATTGGCATGCTAGTCATCTGAGGGAAATACCTTTTTGCTATTACATCCCTGTTCCCCCTCAGTATGACTCTGCTCATGGGCCCCCAACATAGTGTATAAAACTCGTACACTACTCCGGTAACTGCTTTTAGTCTAATGGCTATCCTAACAATCTTCGTGGCATGGTAGGACCTTCATGAACATTAGTTTCAGCCAGTGTGTCTTGTTGGGTTACTACGATATGGAAGTCCGACCACTACTTCAAGATAGCAACTATGTGTCACAGCATGTGTGTGTGGCTCTCAAGGACGTAGAAAATATACATTTTATATGCAGTTGCGCCTATTAGGTTAGCCAGATATTAGTTTGATGTTAGAATCAGAATAAATTTAATTGTTAGGCTAAATCTTGACTCTGATGTGTGGAAAAACTATTAGTAAGTTTCAGCTGTATTCATAGCCTAGCGTCTACCTTGTTGAGCCACATCTATGCCCTAAGGATTACTGAAAAACGAAATATTAAATATTCGTAATCATAGTTCCTTAACAGATACACTGTTCAGGTCTCGTTCGACAAAGTTGTTAACTTTATTAACAAATAAACCAGTCAAATCGGTTTTTACCTTTTTATTGTAATGCCGTTCCTTCAAGCAACCTAGTTACTGTTTCGACGTACAATAATGTATCAACTATTAGTTTTTGGACATGACAATAAAATTAATGCCATAAGCAGTAGTTCGCGTGTTTGTTGTCAAACTGAACATACCGTGATTGACAGCGCTGTGATTGATTATATCCCTAAAAATGATATATTAAACAACTAAGCCGATAAGTCCTGCGCGTTGTTTAGATTGCGACGTTTCCATAATAACACGTTGACTGTAAACCCTTGTAAAGTAGAAGTAAGGCATTTCATCGTAGTTTCGCTAATTTATATGTGGTGTGTCACCTTGGAAATCAAACCTGATAGTCATGCGTTACGCAAAAACCCAACTTGTACACTTGATGGATTATACACACTTTGAGTACAACTACTAAAGATTACCTTGAAATCCTGAAGGGTCCTTAAAAGTGTCGCTACAAAGATTTAATTATTTGGACACTTCATTCTATCAGATTTCTGGAGTCTTGTTTTCAGCAGTTTAACGTTTGAATACCTCGTGATTCGTACGTAATATAGATGAATATTTCAAATTTTACTGTAGAAAACGCCATCCTACTTCTTTAAACGCTCATTACAGCAGAAATTTCCCTCACTTTATTGCTATTAGAAGTCCATGACTCAGTGTTCTAGGACTTACAGATCGTCCCTTGTGCTGGATAGTAAACAGTATTTGTTGAAACTAAGGTATTTAAATCAAAATTATTACGATAAACTTTCGATATATAATAGTCTTTTAATTCATACTTGAAAGTTTCCATTATCAAGCACTGATCTCCATGGGTGTCGTCTGTAAAGTACGGGAAAATAGTGTACAATCTTATATCATCTTTATTGATTAGTTAGGAATTGCGAAATGTCGAGTTTTAGTTACCTGAATCTATGATAGTGTTCGCGAGAACTGGTTTAATATAATGAGCATAAATTTCAGATACTGAGCACATCGTTATTACCTGAATTTTTGGCCAAAACATTACTGAAATAGATAAGTGGCATTACTAAATTTTTGGATGACGCAACATTGGTAGTGACGTGTACTAACTTTTCATATTTATATGTTAGAAACTAATCTGCTTGGTTGATCTAAGAAATAAAGAAAGTTTGTCTGTATGACACTCTTGTCAGTTATCTTTGAAACTATTTTCCTTATAAACTTCTCACTAGATTATGATTACTTGGGTGATTTTCGTAAATGACTTGAACAAATGTTGTATTCCAGTGTTTCAAGACGTTCATTTTGTTGTTTTGGATTTTTTTGGACGACTACTGTGTGATGTTTATTTCCATAACCAGGAGTTGTCACACCACAATCGGGATCATCAACCAAATTGGTTGGATTCTTCAACCAACTGTTGGAATTGTCGAAGAATGTATCCGCTAGCACACACGCCTCAGTGGCAAGACTGATACAGGCACTGGTGGTAAGTCTATATTTAAAAATCTCAGAGATATGCTAGGCTTATGTTAATGCTTCAACAATTATCAGCATGAAATGTAGTACTTGAAATTAAATGTTTGGGTAAGTACTATTTATCGAAATCTCATGTTATAGGCAGATGATCTCATGAGTGCTAATTAAAAGACATGTCTAGTCGACCTCATCCACTTTGTGCGTTCATTACTAACGTGTTGATATTTGAAGGGATAATACTCATTTAAAGTATTTAAGTTAATTATAGAAATTTAAGTATCAGCAGCTAAGCACAAGTTGACAAATGTTCTAGCGGATAGAAGTTGTTAGGTCCTTTTGATTTCAAGCAAAACTACCAAGGTGGAAACTGTTCATTAGGGTAGAGTCACTTGCTTAGTTGACGTGAAAAGTCGTCATCCTTCTCATTGTAAAATAAGTAATACGTGAGGTTTTGACATCCTTTAAAAATAATAGCAAGTCAATTGTAGGAGTTGCTGAAATTTCTTGGTTATAATTTTCTTCACTTTCATTCTTTTTATAGAATGGAGAACTTGATGCCAACTCTTTCAGCACACAGTTACGCAGCAATCTTAAAAGTGCCAATACCAGTATGGATATCGCTCCATTTATAAAGGACAACATAGATTTACTAAGGAGAGATTTAGCCAGTGGTGTTTGTCGATTGCCAAATATACAGCCTCCGCCAAAAGATTTCTCTACAACTACGCCTGTCCCCGTAACAATTGTTACATCACTACCTACTCTGGGTCTACATGCTCGTGCTAGTACTGCAGTCTCTACAACAATCCTTTCGTCATCAATACAAGGTGGTCCTCGCATCGCTCTCCCGACCAATACTACTCCCCGTATAGTAGGAACACTTATGTCATCAGTTTCAACGCCAGCTATTCCTACCAGCCCTGCTACTGTTCTCACATCTCGGTCTCAGCCTCCATTATTAGCTCCAGCTCCTCCTAGGGTTTGCGTTACACCTGCAATAAACATTGATGCAGCTGCAACTTTGGGCACCGTTACAAGATACCGTTTAGCGCAGCCTATTAGCGGTGTTACATCCGCAACCGTTGTCCTACCTGGTACAGCTGTGACAACAGTAGTCCCGACGCGTTTCACGTCAGCTATTAACGGGACACGGACAAGTTATCAAAACTTAAGACCAATTATAGCTACTTCATCAACTTCATCAGCCTTTGGTATCAATCTTGGTTCAATAAAATCAGCCGCTGGAATGTCAGCTGTTGTATCTCCTTTAATTCGCGCTAAATCCGGATATCCTAGCTCTTACACATCTGGGATCTTACCTGCTGTACATAACAAGGTAGGCTCCAGTCTTTTGTCTTTGAGTGGATCTTCGCTTTTCATAGACGGTGGAGACCGGAAGTTAAATGAGGTATCATTTTTAAATGATGATATACGTCACACACCTGCATCGCCAATGCGTGACACTCCGTTCTTTCCTCCGGAAAGAGTCAGAGAAGTATTAGAAGCTCATGGTATCAAGTCACTAACAGAAGAAGCTGTTATATGCCTTGCCCACGGTTTACAAATATTTATCAAAGGTCTGTTATCGAAATTGAGAATTATAGTGTCACACCGTCTGGATCGTTTAGGTGAAGATTCCCGTTTGGCGCCGACAGATCATACGCGTGAGCAGCTAAGATTTCTACAAAAGTTGGATGAACATGATCGAATAAGGCAGTCCGAACTGGAAAAGGATCTGATTCTTAAGGCTGCAAAGGTGAGTTTCTAGGCATGCATATTATGTTTGTATAATTTTTTTAAACTCCCAATCATGCTATTCTGAATAAGAGATGTTGTTGCACATAACTATGTTGTCAAGTCGGTATATTGTTTGGATACACCCCAGTAACCACATAAGAATTCATCCTAGTTTTAAGCCATTCCATTTATGTAATGACAGTAGCAGATTTATTAACACCATCAGGCTAACCAAATTGATCGCATACCTGAATCATTAAGTTTTTAGTTTTCATTCGTTTCTTTTAACGCTCTCATAATCTTAAACATAACTTAAATAACTTTTATTTGCAGTCGCGCTCTAAAAATGAGGACCCTCACCAAATGCAAATGAGGGAAATGGCTCGAAGAATAGCATCTGAAGACTATGAACGAGAAAAACAACATCAAGCCAATCTCACAGCTCTTCACGCCATTGGCCCACAGCGTAAACGTCGTTTGGATACTTTGGATGAGACGGGTAATCCCATCTCAAGCGATGTTTTGGGAGCATCCTTCCCATCAAGAAATGGTGCTACTAAAATAATTAATACACTACCCACTACTAGTCGCCTTTCCATTGTTAGCGCCAATCGTCTAGGGATTGTAACTCCCGTTTCTAGTCTGCCGCAGTTCAACTTAGAAACTACGTCTTCGAATTCCAACACGTCGGGTACTGCGACTAGTGGGACTAGTGATGGACCAAATACAACCGGGTTTTCGCTGGCACTAAGTCTTAGAACTCACCGCGCTACTATGCGAGATATTCAGGTCGTACTTTCCCGAACACCGAGACTTCGTCGTACGCGGACATACTACAAGACGTATTGGCGTTCCCAGCCTTGACATTTTTGTGTTTCTTATTTTTCTTTGATGTAATTTAGTAATGGTTGGCTGATTATTCTTTGATACCAATCCACAGAATTTTTCAATCGCCTACCAATGTGTAGTGCCAAAACCTCTGTATAGTTATACATTGTAAAAATATCAGATGTAATGTTGCTAAGCTCAGATTGTTTTTTGCATTGGAAATAAGATTTTACATATTTTGTCCACTGTGTACATTTATCTTTTTTTAAAAAGATTGTTCTCTGGTGTGTTTAAATTGTTGTACATAATTTACATTTGCTGTTCTGAGAAAAAATTCTAGTCTTTTTTGATTTCTTTGAATCTATAGAAATCTGAACACTGGTTCTATCATTAAAACAATTAGCCGCATATTATAGTGTGGTCAACCAACCGTATTAATTAACAACAAGAATTGTGGACCAGTAAATTTTTATCGTTGATTATTCTTCACTGGAAAAACACCATATATTATATGCATGAACAAAACATTTTATAGAGGTTAGTTAGATGATGCGGAATCAAAGAACAGTGAACATGTTGGAAATTTGATATTAGAAAGTACCTAATTAATTATTACATTGAGCCAAAAGAAGAACGAAGGTCCTAGGAAATAATCGTAATCAGATATCTGTCGGACCGAGTAAGCGATCATCGTTCAAAAGGCGTTGAGACACATTTTGAAGGCGTTATTGCGAAATCCAAAATGTTGACAGCCTAGAAATGCATTAAGGGGTAAAAAAAAGATTAACACTATTATTCTGAACCAGGTCATCGCTTGCCTGACTGCATTAATTATTAGGCCAATTTAACTACTTCATGCATGTTTGTTAAGTGCTTGTATTGTGGCGGCAAGAAGCTATCGACATGGAACTGGTTCCGAGCAAATACTTGTCTAGACTGCTAAATTCATACCTTTATGTCAAAAGTACCAGTAAAAGCTACATATATCTGTTATGCATACTCAATGGTCATCTACAGCACTACGTGCTGAAAATAATCCTCGTATCATGAATTATTCGTTTACAAACTGAGGCGAGGATTATGTGAGAAGTAACATAAAACACATTTCGGTGAACTGGGTTGCGACTTAAACCATCAACTGATTAGATTGACCACTACGTGTATTTTTACGGCTATTTGGTTGTATGCATACGCATGGTCGAACTAATGAATAACTGAAGTCCAAACAAGTATTAGAGAAGGAGCGGCAATCTACCACGGATCCTCTCCATCCCAGTTTGTTTCCTTCATTCTCCAAGTGAAACAATGTCTCTTTATATTTAAAGCTAGCGATTGCCTACCGCAAATAAGCTGAACAAAATTGTAGAGGACGATTGTCAGCATAGGACTCTAGAGATGTCTTTCCGACTAACTGAATTCAATCACCTGCTCATGCGATTGAGGGGTTTCGCTTTTGTGAATGAGCTACTGAGTTTGTAGGTTTAAATGCCCATTTTCAGAGATTCTTTTGCATAGGGAAACTGCCCTGATAAGTTTAAATTCCCTTTTCTTGATAATGTCATCCTTATGTGTGCATCTAGTATTTCTTATACAATCTCTTATATACTTCTAGTTAGTGCTGCCTTACAAACAAGATAGAGATAAAAATGCCATTTAAACACAAACTGACTTAGAAACAAACTATCGGTTAGGGGATCCTGTGGAGCCCATAAGACAAAATAATTCAGTTTATCTGATAACCACGTAGTGAATATGTGGTCTAATTTGATGTGTTAACGTAGTAGGCTGGAGTCACTCACACTATCACAAAAATAAACTTGGTAAAACCTGGAGCATTGCGCTGTACTTGCATAAACATAGTGAAAGCTTAGCTGTAGCACTACACACGATACCGACATCTAAGAAAGATGATTCAACACCTATCCAGGATTTCCGGAAAGTAGTGCTATCCATGTGACAAATGGAGAAATAACTAGAGACAGCTTTTAAAGTTGTGGTGTTAAGTTTGGTACGATAATTGTGTTCAAAACGTCATCCGGTAAATGGCACCACTTGGTGCATATAATAAACAAACCATTATGCAATTGTACACTAGCAATGCCCAGATTTAACAAATCTGCAACTTTACGGTGGCATGTGCGGAGTTGTTACTTCTCCAGTGTTGACACCGTACTTGTTGCAGTACCTAAAAGTACTTGGGTTCGGGTGGCTGTAGAACGACCATCTATTTAGGTGGGATTTATGAGGTTTCATCTGTCCGGACGATTTTACCGCTGTCAAGATGTATAGAATGAGTTATTTAATCGTAAATAAGAGGAACTGCTGCCTTTTAGTTTACAACAATCTTCCAGCTGATCTTATCTGACAACAAGAAGTGCTTTAAAAACTGTTGATGGGCGTTTAGGCATTGAAGCAATTTGGTTTTCCTCTTCTAGGCATAAACTTTAGTCTTAATAATGCTAGTGTAAATTGTGACTTAAGTCAATGTAAAAACTGGCGTGGAATTATGCTTCTGTCCATTCCAAGCAAGATACTAAGTCGCATCATCCTGGAGAGAATCAAACAAGCCAGCCTAGATGAAAAACTTCGTCCGGAACAGGCCGGATTCAGGAGAAACAAATCATGTATTGATCAAATCGCCACTCTACGGATCATCATTGAACAAAGCTTGGAATGGCAGTCACCTCTCTATCTCAACTTCATCGACTTTGAAAAGGCCTTCGACAGCGTCGATCGAGAGGTCATTTGGAAACTACTTCGCTACTACGGGGTCCCATCGACAATTATACATCTCATCCAACAGTTATACGACAATGCTGCATGCCAAGTAATCCACAATGGGAAACTTACGGAGGCCTTCGAAGTGAGGACGGGAGTGAGGCAAGGCTGTCTACTATCACCAATGATCTTCCTGATTGCAATTGATTGGATAATGCGACAGACAACGGCAACCAACGAGGGAACAGGCATAAAATGGACTGACACAAAAGACTTGGAGGATCTGGATTTCGCCGATGATATATGTCTGATTTCCCATAAACTGGAAGATATGCAAGTGAAAAGTAACAAGTTGGCAGAAGAAGCATCAAAGATAGGACTTCACGTGAACATAGATAAAACAGAGATGATGAAGATTCCTAGCCAACATCAACAGCAAAAACAACAACAGACAACAATCAGCATAAGTGGGAAGAACCTGAAAGAAACAACCTCCTTCACCTACCTGGGAAGCATCGTCTCAACTACAGGCGGAACTGACGAGGACATCAAAGCCAGAATCGGAAAAGCAAGACAAGCTTTCATTACTCTCAAATCTGTGTGGAGGTCAACAGCACTCAGCATCAAAAATAACATCCGGATTTTCAACTCCAATGTGAAGTCAGTCAGTGCTACTATACGGATCAGAGACTTGGAGAGTCATAAAGAGCATCTCAAACAAACTTCAAACCTTCATTAACAGCTGTCTCCGCTCAATACTCAAGATCAGATGGCCAGAAAAGATCAGCAACAGGGATCTCTGGGAGCGAACCAATCAGGAACCGATTGTGAAACAAATAGGCAGAAAGAAATGGAGATGGATTGGCCATACGCTGAGGAAACCATCAAGTGACATCACTAGACAAGCCCTCGAGTGGAACCCGAAAGAGAGGCGGCGAGTTGGTCGTCCAAGGGCGACTTGGAGGAGGTCATGCGAGGAGGAGATGAAAGCATGTGGACAGACCTGGAGCAGGGTGAAAAAGTTGTCAGAAAACCGAAGTCAATGGAGGTGCGCAGCTGAAGCCCTATGTTCCTCTAGGAACTAAAGGATACAATAATAATAATACAATAATAAAATTGTGAATGACAATGACTCAATATAAATGGCCACATGGTTTGCCTACTGACATTGCGACGATGACTGGTTTTGTTGCTTTATCCATGTAACCGATCTTTGTACAGTAAAAATAAAAGGGTAAAACGTGCTAGATAGGATAAAACTGAATGAAAATTGCGCCTACTCGACAATTTCAGCTTTAGTGTCCTGTTTCTTACATTACTTAACTTGTCAAATTAAGATATGTACAATGTAAATCGTGTTCCTTTCAGAATGAGTGGCGATATAAAATATTTTCACACTCACCTGAAGTCAAATCAAATTGAAATTCTCTCACGGCTGTTGGTATCTCCGCCCAAAATGAATTTCTTCTCGCTAATGTGCTTTTTGAAGATATTTGATACTACAGGTGCTTGATTTACTGTAGGTGTCGAACTGAATTCATTGTTTACACTTGGGATCCTTCCTACACGAAACACATATACACCTTCAGAGTCCGGGGTGACTGTACCATTCTTCGATGTCGAAATACGTCGACGTACTCTTGTTCGGCTTGGGAAACGTTTCATATGTACAACAGAATTTTCACCTGGGGAAGAATTAACAGGACGGCATGACGAACTTCCAGCTTGTGTTTGATATACAATTTTTAGAGGACTTGAATCCATTCTGTCTAAGGATCTGCAATCTCTGTTTGGATGATGTCGAATAGAATTTGTAGGTCTCTGAGGTTTGTTCGAAGTGGTATAGGGACGACTGTTCCCAGTACGTACAATATCTATGTCATAACATTTCTCGTTTACTAGGTGAATACTGTTTTGTTTCGGTAAAATTACAGCTTGTGAAGCTAAATCTGCACTACTTGTACTAGATGTTTCTGAATTATCATTTTCACACGAGCCGTACGTACTGGAACTTTTATACAGTATTTTGGGCTCTGTCGAACGTCCACGTTCACTTGTGCTGTCTAAATGACTATACAACCGTTGCTGTCGTTTTTCATGTGATCTTGATAGTGAAGGTGAATCTGAAATATGTGTGGATTCAAACTCTTCCTTAACTGTAACTTGCTTTACCTTAGTCCAGCTTAGACATTCATCAGATTGGGCTAAAACTGAGCTCGTCGATTTATATCGAACGGGAGGTGGACTGAAAATAGATACATCGGAATTCCAGCCATTAAGATGGACGCTACTTTTTGACTTCTTCTTTCTGGTTATAGACAGCACTTGACAACCACTTCGCACTTTGTAATTCAGCGATGAAGAGCGATTGATGGATTTTGATTTACGAACTTTAGGCGAATCCCGTTCAATTAAAATAGTTAAAGGCTCCATTTCCCTTATATCTTCAGGAGTAGCTAATGGTACTGCTCTGATACATTTGTATTTACAAGTGTCACCACTCAGCCATTCACATGAGTCACTTTCGTAAGTCGTATTTTCGTAATCTGGAGTAGTTCTGTTGTGTAAGTGAGGAGATTGGGTTAGAGGGATTTCATTGTGTAAAACCTTGGATGGTAAATCTACAAACTTAATTTCTTCATTGTCTATTGGCCATATGTTTGCGATGGAAATGGTGGGACTATTGATGGGTTCTACAAATTCACAACAATCATCCATCACGCATATAACTGTACGTTCCTGGTTTCTTGAACCGATGAAGCGTAATGGATCAATAGTTAAGGGTTTCGGAGGCTCCAAACAGAAACGCTGCTTTGCAGCAAGACGCGACTGATGGGCTGGAGAGGAAAACGGTGGAGGTATTGTAGCCGGAGTATTATTTATATTTGTAGTACATAGAGAGGGATCACTCATACTTGCTTCTATTGGCTTTTGTGGATCTGAATGCACAATTAATTTAAACTTTTTCTGACTTGCTGGTGATAAGGCAGCTGAGGATGTGGACGATTCATTTGAGTTCATTACCCAAACATCTGTATCTTCACGAATAATTTTTGGATTGGAATGACGCATGCGTAATTCGGCCGAGTAAGTCTTATTTTCGTATGGGGAAGAACATGGGGATTCTGACTCGCTAGATCTACATAATAGAAAAGAGAATACAAAGAAAGTAATGAAGTTTGCATTCACGCCTAAAATGTATGTGACATCTGTCTAGTGGAATTAGTTATTATGTGCATGCGTTTTAAGAAAATCCAAATAGTTAACTACCTTATAAGCTAGTGTGCTGTAGTTTCTGGTCTACAGTAACCTTCCAAGATTTCGGCAGAAAATCTGTCAAACAGTTCTTCACTGTTACACAAAGAAACAACACAAGGACTAAACAGTAATTGAGAAATCGCATTCCCTTTCCATAAGAAACCATTAGATATGAATTTATGAAACTTGGCAAAAGTATAAGCTGTTAGTGTATCATAAGTAACAACATATATCAACACATACACGCTCATTCCTGTGGTACATATTTCAGTATTACAATAAAGAATGATAGCCATACAGATTCCACAAATTGGTAGTGAAATGGTGTGTACGCGCTGCTTAAACTTATTCTAAGCAATCCTGTGAATTAGGTCACCATCCATCATGAAATTTCTTTTATATAATCAATTTTAACCAAAAATGTGAAGTCTACGTTTTACTATGTTAGATTGTCAGCTGACACTGCTGTGACCACTCCTATATAGATGTTGTTCTGTTTACCGATCATTTGAAACGCCATACATTAGCACAAAATCTAGAGCTTTCCGTCTCACATAGTGAACTTAAGCAGATGAAGTTTTTCCGCTCATTCATTTCATTTTTCTTCTATTCAAAAAATACAAAACAGCACTGAATACTCTGTGTGTGGATATGCGGTTCTGTTAACCTCAACACTCTACTTTCGACATATCCGGGCAAACAATACGTGTGGCTCACAATAGTGTAGATAGAAAATCTGTTCTAGGTAAATTTATTTATTTTTTTGATTTCAGCTTGATTCCACACCGTATATTTTGGTACAAGCATGGAATTTTCAGTATGTGATATCGGTAGCCCAAATTTTGCAGACGGACCATAGATATCAAGTGTGCATCGGCAGGGGATCGAACCTCGGACCATGTGCATGGTCGGCGAGAGTCCTAACCATTGTGCCACCGACGCACCATCACTTCAAACGAATATTCATATGAAATTGTAATATGCATATATGTATCCTGACTTCGCTGTAAAAAGAATTAAGCGAATGCACTCACCATACAAACTTTGTGTTCATTTTATTTATAACAAAGGTTTTTCCTGTCTCTTCTCTCTTTCCCTTTTTAGTCTTCTGACTATTGCTGATTTTCTTTTCATATTTTATCTTCTCTTTGGTTACTTTCTACTTACTTTATAGAAAGATACGATAAGTACGATACGATAAACGTAGAAGCGATGTGGACGATGTCTGAAAGTTGAGAGTGATACTTTTAATTGTTAAAAGTCTCTTATCTTGAAGAATGCAAAGGTTAACTCTTCTGTAAAACTATTCACTTGAAAAGTTCCTTTGTAAGTGTCCAGAGCGTTTATAATACCGATAATATTAAAGATAATTCGATTAGTTTCAACTGAATTATCTCAAAAATGGCAGCGAATTTAATTTGTAAAAGGCAGGTGAGTAATGCGCCCGTTTCGTAATCTCAAGAACATCGGTTCCATTACCAGTAGGGTTGTGAGTTTGTACTGCTGAGAGGGCACATGAGTTTGACTGCAGTCTCTTTGTAAAGTATGTATATGGCACATATCTCAATCATATCTTATGACTGAAACAAGTGAAAGTAAAGATAACACAAAAACAAATAGATTTTACAATACATCTACATACTACTTATGAGTATGGTAAAAAAAAATTTACACTTACGCAAAATATTCATCTGTGGCAAGAAGATTCATACGATTACTTCTGTAAAATAAATAATTTATTCAAGAAAAGATTAAAATTATTTTTAATCAGTGTTTGAAAAAAAGGCGACTGACAATTGTTATTGTTACAACATAACTCTTATATAAAATGAATAAAAAAAAAGAAATAAACGGATATTGTATTGGAGTAAAAATAGCTTTATTATCTCACTCTCAGCATTCTACTAATTATTACATAACAAATTCTACATATTTAATCTGAACCACAGAAAAAAACACTTGATCAGATAATACTAGGTAGTCTGATTTTGATTTTCGAACGTTGGATTTTACTGGCAAAACTTTCAGTTCTAAACATAGATGAAAATGAAGTCAGTCAGACGGCGATTCAGTGTCGAAGAAATTCTCTCTAAATTACAAATGAAAATTAACTCTAAACTGACTTCATCATAAAGTAGATACTAAAGATGACGACGTTGAAAGTTCTACCAATAAAATCTAAAGCGTCGAAAGTGACAACACTAACGTTATGTTCTACGTTAACAGTGATATAACAGAAATCTCTTAGAAGGGAAAATAAAAAAAAATGGCTACAATTTATCCGTGCTACATAACTTGGTGCTGTTGTATTACAAATTTGTGTAGTAGTATTCAACATTCCGCATAGTAGAATTGAGTACTATTAATACTCCTATCAAGAAATTAAATTTGGCTCTAATAGAAAAAAAATCACCATGTATTATAATACAACCTTCACCTTATACTACTTAGGAAAGTGAAACAACAAAATACGAGAATTAATCAGGATCAAAATGAAATAACTACATTCGCATAAAAAGAGCATATAGGTAAGTTCTTAAAGTCACCCAAGTTGGCGCAAAACAAGTGGTAACAGTAACGCCAAACAGTGCAAACACAAATATGCTCTTTTTTGACATTATAACATTGTACAGCCGATTCCAGGTGTATGTAAGCTTGATGCAGTTATATTTCAATACGACCTTAGTAACATATTGTGGTGAGAGCAGGCCGTGAGAAAATATGTACAAGGCTGATTTAACAACCAATCACAGCAAAGTTAACGTGGCAAAATATGATTCGCAGATAGAGAACTCTATTTGTCGAGGAATCCCTAAACAACCAATCCGAAGCCTGCGTTTGTCTGCCTAACTTCTGATAAACAACCGATCAGATGACTGCGCTTGTCTACTTGCATAAGCTGTAATAATGTATGTGAAATATGTATAAATACGTGTTGATTTCCATAATAAAACGATCTGTTGCCAGCCCTTGTCTTCTGTTGTTACAATATTACCTAGAAAGCACTGTAAAATGGTTTACGTCGGCATTTCTGCAAATAAATTAGAAGGTTTATAGGAAAATAAAATCGCTAAGAGGTAGTCAGTAAATTGCTACAAAATAAATGTCATATAATAGTAGGAATGAACATCGAATATGGATACGGTTGCATCAATATGACCGACTTTGATTTACTTATTATCTGAAGTTCCCAACTACTGGCTGGCTATTAATCACCAATCAATCAATTTGACCGAAACCAATAGTAAGTTAGTTACTTTGAGGGATTAGTGTCATCTACTGGATTGATCAATTTTAGCATTCTTACAACTCGATTTAACTTTAGTTCGTATGGCACTGTAATAGTAGATGGTAGTTTGTCATACGTCGTACATATCCTAGGTGTTCTACTCCGCTTACACTACATGCAGTCATTGCTACGATGATAAACATTATCGGAAAATACAATTTTAATGTCTCAACTGTCTGTCTGTCTCTGTCTGGATTCGACATAGAACTTGGCACCGAAGTGCAGCAGTTCGAGTTGCCACGTTCCAAATAGCACACAAAAGTAGACAAGAAGATGAGTGAAGAGAATCAATAGAATTTGACAAGTATAAGAGTGAAACAGAATGGGTAATGGTAGAAAGGAATATGAAAGATTACAGAGACTGAATACAACATCTGCGCCATTGACAACGATTTTGAGCCATGTCACCTATTGTCTCCAGCCATTGATTCCTAGAGTCCCGAGGGCCCCAACCCGGAAGTCTGCATCTCCCTACCTGACTCAGTTTAACTGCCAAGGATTTCATGGATTGATGCCATGTTTTTGTTTGGCCACCACTGACTCTTTTCCAACCTGCACCTATATCAGCTAGTAATGCCCGTCGGGGGAGGTGATGATTAGGCATGCGCACCACGTGACCTAGCCATCTCGATCTGTGTAACCTTATAGCCTCGTCGATTGATTTCCCCTCTTTGCCCAACACTCTACGCCTAACGTCAACATTAATTACCTTATTAAACCACCTAAAGTGAGAAAGAGATCGCAGACATCTATGATCGAAAGCATGTCTCAACTGTGTGACTGAATATGATAGATCGCTGCACAATACATATACATGCTTGTAGGTGGTCAATATATTGATGTCACTAGAATTAGTGCAGTCCGAAAGATGCCTAATAAGTTACTTATACACGCCTTTTTAGAAGCAACACGTTCGACTATTTCAGTTTCTACCACCAAACAAGATGGAATCACATAAAGTAAGTTACTTCACTTATCAGATTATTACAGATAAGTTAAATGCACATTCTACTGTCAGGCACTTATTGGCAACTAACCATAAAATACTAGCACATAGTTATGTCAGCATCATTTTATTCGAATTGCAGATTCCAAAAATAATGGGTATCATTCCTTGTCTATCCTTGGAGAAATGACTTTATAGCGATAAGTGAGTGCACAACAGTGTCGACATTGGATACTAACTTTCACTGTTTTGGTAAAGTCATTAGGCAGAAAGTAAACGGTGAGCATCGTCGCCACTTAACATGCTGCCACTTTATGCTCCGTTATTTGAGCATAATACCTAATTAAGTTAACAAATTAACCTCGACGTATTCATGGCATTTCGATCGATAAGATTACTGTTCTTATTTTCTCCTCTTAACTTCTGATCTGAGCTTATATAGATACAGTATAGTTGAGGGATGACATATAGCTAATACCATCACATACAACTAACACCAAATACACTGAGTGGATATTGATTTGAAACAATTAATTCCCTTTATGAATTTCGATAGAACAATAAGATGTAATTTATCTGAATCGTATAACCGTGCGGCTTTTTTTGGAATCCCCAGTAATTACAAAGTCTAAACCAACTTTATGTGTTCAAAAACAATTCTTCATCACTTTAAATCTTTCTTGGTAAGCTTGGTTTTGATACCATGGCAGATGTACTGTTATCCTCCTTCTTTGGTTTATTATCGATAAATTGTATAATAATGTGATCTTAAAAACCACTGTATTTGTGATGAAATAATATCATCTCTCAAAGCTGAATACCTCTCATTCAACTATACGCTTATCAAAGTAGGTGCATAAATTTGACGACAATACTATTTCATTCGTTTGAATTATAACTTTAATTTGACAAACCACAGGATTATTATTATTAGCATTGTTATTGGTAAACTGTTTCTTTTTCTACGCAGTAAACGCAACAGACATTCAATTAAGGTTAGCATAACATGGTTTTGATGCTTTTAAAAGAAGTTCTAATATGTGTGTATTACTTGCATGCAGACGGCTGAAAGTAGTTAATGGCTTTCAACTAAATAGTCACCAATCGTTATAAAATAACCCTAAAATAGTCTACAGCTTATAGCCATCGCCTTCCTTGACGGGCGACCTTAGCTAACATAGGATCAGCCTAGAAAAGAGCTAGTGGTGGTCAAACCAAAACATGGTATCAGTCAATGAGATCTTTGACAGTTTAGGCCACGTAGGAAGGTGTAGACTTCCTGACTGCCTGGGGTCCTCGCGATGGTAAACACCATAGGCTGTAGACAGTCGATGATATGGCTCGAAACCGTTCTCAGTGGCGCAGATGCATTCACTTTTTGTGGTTTGTCATATCCAATAAAACTCCATTGTTCTTCCATACTACTGTTCCTTTTGCATCGCATTTCTGTTTATTATTTCTCTCTTGAATCTTCTTTTACTCTCTTCTCTTGATTTGTGTGCTACATGGATGGACAGTGGCAACTGGAAGTGCTGCACATCTGTGCAAAGTTCCGCGTTGAAACCAGTCAGTCAGTCAATCAGTCTGCAGACATATGCTATTTTACTTCATTAACATTCAGAAAAAAACATAAGAAAAGAAAACTAAAGGTTATGGAGTAAGATTAAAACTCCACTGTGCGCATTAGACTAGACCTGTTATAAGTAACTAAGAAATTAAATTTTGCAAGATATAAAATAATTTAAGAGGATAAAATTTTCATAAAATATTAAGCTTTATTGTTTATTTATTATTTGTTTGCGTGTTTATTTACAGATAATAGTGAATTAAGGATAAAATCACCGCCGTATAAAAAAAAAGAAAGTTTACACATGCTTAAAAAGGAACAAACCTGCCATTCGGTCTAAAATGACAATATAACAGTAATAGTGAAAAGTTATGTCTAACTCCATATGTACTACTAACTAATATGAGTAGTTTTTATCAAAATAATTTAGATTAGTACATTCAAGTGGAGGGAACACTGTGCACATGAATTATTTACTTGTTCTACTGTTCTTAAACATGTCAGTTGATTCTATAATGTTAGCTTCATTAGCATAATGCCTATAAAACTTCGAGTTATCGTTACTAACTAAGAAAATACATTCCATACATAACATAACCTCATGCTTAATCAAAAACCCGAATATGATGGTCTTCACATCTCACTACCCAAATAAGACTGATTCAAACACAAACTGTTTAACTTATTCTTTCGCATTAGCAATATAAGGAGATTTCTTCAGTTGTGGCTCATTGATTTGAACGCTCGACTTCCAACCACTGACTCACAGGTTCGGATCCCGCTCCGATCACAAGACTATAGACGGCTAGGTACTATTATTAGATCCAATATAATATGTGTACTGCTAGAAGCATGTAAATACACATGATTGTTGAGTAACATTTCTATTTTACTCCTCTTCAGAAACAAACATCAATTGTTCTGTCAAAGTGAGATTATCTCAATCTATCCATTTCTGAGTTTATTCAATTATAATATTGGAAAGCCAAATTCTACATAAGAAAAGAGTAACTCTGCTGCATTAAATCAGTTGAACATGAAAGACAGAATCCAGACAGTTTATTTCTTGTTTTATACTAGTGTTGACACTATTTCCCCTTTAAGAATATAATGACAGAAAAAAAGCTTCGAAGCTAGACAAATCGTAAAGTTCACTTGATACTTTAAAGAGACTTAAGACTGAATACTTATGTATTTACGTTATTTCTTGATAATGATTAAAATATTTATAGCAGTTTACACCTTCAATTATGACCATATGTTACACCGTGTAACTGTTATTCGTAACGGTTAAACAACCATATCATTTTTGATGGTTATTTCAACTTCCTGTATTTTTAATTATTCTGGAACTTGAAGATGCATAAATCACTTTCACTGGACACTAGTAACTAGTGTGATGTGTCTAATCCTTTCTTTGGTGCAGACCGAATTCTATTAGTCAGGTTTGCAATGTGGCCACCATTCTAGGTAGATCGCTATCACGGTGCACTTTGAATTATTGATGTTAGATGGTTGGAGGCAATCGGCAGGACTAGACATATCACACTAGTTACTGGTGTTCAATGAAAGTATCCAATACAGTCCTACAGGAGGTCAGTCGCGACCCCGAATAGCTCACTGGTAACGTCTCTGACTGAGGCACTGGGTGACGCGGGTTCTACTCTCAGAAGGGACATGAGTTCCTTCAAAGTTGCCGACTAGCACGAAACCTAGGCCCAAGGCTTCCTGCCGATCGCCTCCAACCGCCTAACATCAACGATGAATAAACCAATTATTGAATTGAATTTTTTTTTTTTTGATTTTCCCGTCGATTGATTGGACTGAAGTGCTCGGTCTCAGGTTGACATGTCGGCTTCTTGTGCAGATGCTTCGACGATGTCTGGGCATTTAGTTAGTATACAATTGGTGGATGGTGGCTAGCAGTGGAATCCAGGATGCGCATTTCGTCCTATTTGGGACTCGTCATCTGGATGTACCTGCATTTCTCAGTGAGTGATAAATGCCCAGACATCGTCGAAGCATCTGCACAAGAAGCCGACATATCAACCTGAGACCGAGCACTTCGGTCCAATCAATCGACGGGAAAATCAAAAAAAATTCAATTCAATAATTAAATATGACCCGTTGCACAAGAGGTGGCTCTCGTGGCCCAAGTGGTCTAGTGGATAACGCTTTGGCGTTTGAAACTATGGGTACTGGGTTCGAGCCTCAGTGGGAACATCATCACTCACTGAGAAATGCAGGTACATCCAGCTGACGAGTCCCAAATGGGACGAAATGCGAATCCTGGATTCCACTGCTAGCCACCATCCACCAATTGATGAATAAACCACTTTAAAAAATGCATGAAGCCTCTGATTCATCATTTTAAATATTACAATCTCTAGAAAGCCATAAAAGCTTAAAACACTTCATAAATGTCAAGTGTAAAAAAAGATTACTCCAGCAGTCTTTGCATGATACACAAGCATTATGTAAACTGATTTTCACCTTAATACATAGACTTATACACAACTAAGCATGACACTATTAAAACACAGGTTAAACACATGCAGTTCAGAGATTTCGCGTTTATCAATGTGATTTTTCTTCTCACTTAACATATCAGTTAATGGCTTTCCGAAACATATTAAAACTATGCTGTTGGCTAGTAAAACTGACTCATAGAACTATTGGTATATGATCCCATGATAAAAGAACTACAAATTATTAGAGAAGTAAACTGAGTAAAGCAAAACCTATACATCAATAACATTTCACTATAATCCAATCAAAACATACACTGATAAATATATACATTGAATTTCCCCCTCTTGGTAGTTTTCACAATGAACTCTGAATTCAATCAGCAGAAGACGATGTATTCAAAAGTATTGGAGTTAAAAAGAAGAAAACAATTGTGCCTACCTCATATGATCAACTACACGACTGACAGTAGACTCAGGCCAAATAGTAGATGTATTCAACTCAATATTAGCTCTACGCACCACTTCCGGCAGACCTAAATGCCCAGTAAGAAAACAGTCTGGTCCAGGTGCAGGTTCATCACGAATACCAATAAATTTGTCTGACGATGTCCTGTTGCCTGTGAAATAATCACCAGCAGGACCAATATTATTACCATCAGACGCTTTAGTCATCTTTTTCCTTTTTATACGAGAACGATTGACATTGTGATCATGATTACTCATTGATGATTTATTGTGTAGAATTTTATGAGATTTCGCTATACTAACAACACCCATTACTTGATCGGATTCATCATCTAAACCAGCTAGAATGGCTGATTTATGCTGAGATTGTAAATTCTTTTGAAGACAACCTGAAGTGCGTAGATCTCGATTAATTTCTAAATCTGATTTACACAATGCATGCGATTGATTAGTAGCAGTAACATTATCAGTGTTAACACTTCTAGTTGTTGTACTGAGTCCATTCAGTTTTACTGGAATACTTCCTTTGAAATTTGAATCTTTAACTGATGAAGGTCCAAACGGAAATAAACCAGCTGTGAATGAATAAAATATTAGGAATAAATAATATTCATCATATGGACAGTTTGTTAATAAATAAATAGTATGCAGGCAGCTTTCATCACGAAGCAACATTAATTATTTCACATTCTAGTATGAAAGACTTTTCTAATAGTCCATCATACCATGGAATGTATTCGTGATGGAAACTCCCTTGAAGAATTTCAACTTAAGCAGTAAACAAAGCGGTTTTTAAAAAATGATAAAATTATTAGATAACCATTGAAGCTTAGTTGAATACAAGTGAAAAGACTTTACGTTTTCGCACATATTTCTGATTCTTAATGTTGAGAAGAAGCAGAAAAAACCAACTCAAGGTAAACAAAAGCTTCTTAACATACACTACACTAAAATTGCGAATGCATTAAATTCAAACTTATTGTAATGCACTACTTGTGACCGCATAAAACAATATAACATGTGGACCTATGCGAGTGATAATACAATAATAATTATGCATAATAACAACAAACAACGAAAGTTCACATGCTGTCCACTAAGTTGATTTTTTGTATATCAACACTAATCAAGGGAACTCTAAAAGAACTCACGCAGCTAATAAGGTAAGAGTTTATGGAGAGTTATCAATTAAGTGATGATAATCAGTGGTGTTCGTCAGGGATACTCAGTCTCCAGTCAACTTTACTCATCAAGCCTTTCATTGATTTGTGTACAAGCATTCTACAACCATTTAGCTAATTTAATAGTTTGTGGAGTGAGATTTCAATATTATTTGTACATTATAATTCATAGATAGCTCGACTACTGCTAGTCCCTGCTGATTCTTCTTTGTAACTTAATCACGCGATTTGCTCCACGAAAGCTCCACATATTTGGAATGCTATAAAATCTATGAAAGCAAGAAACTAGACTTTGAAGTAGTAACTGCCATGATCGGTCAAAAGTTCGGAACAGCATAATTAATTATTTAAAATAATAACAGGAAACAATGTTGCACTATTCATATTCAGCTCCTTTAATGTACTAAAGATGTAGTCTGCATCCTAATCTTGAATTCGCGTATGACTAATACAACATAAAAAATTAGTCACTTGCTGAATCGACGCTGGCGTGACACATCTCATAGAACGAAATAGATGTATTCACAGAATGAAGATAAGACAATACAGTTCAACGGGAACTAGTGTTCTGCTTCGTATCGATTAATAAAGCAGACATTTTATCAATAAAACTGTGCACACTGAAACTTAGAAGCTACCTGTATGTGTGTGAAGAGTAGTTAGTGGCAACTTCAGAATCTATCCCAATTAATTTTGTTCAGTCAACTGGAGAGCCTCCTTAATGTGTAGTAATAATTTTCCTTTTCACTATAGACAGTTGGAGATTTAGAAAGAAAACACCAACTAAACAGTCTTGCGACTACCGATATGTGTAAATAAACCACTTTTAAAGTGTTAAACAAGTTGAATCTTGAAATTTAAAAAAAAAACCGAGAAAAAATGTAGACATTATCATTTACACAAAACTTACCTTGTAGCCTTGCTTCTAAAGAAGCTTCGGATTTGTGATTTCGTGATCCTACAACATTTAAATTCGACTCACTCAACCCATTTTCCAGTGGTATATGCAATGGACAGTAAAATGAAGCTAAAAGAGGAGGAAAAATTGTGGACTATTAAGTGTTAACTATTGAATGCGTCTCATATATTTTAGAGTGTACATTACTCAAACTGAAAAGATGAGAATACAACCATATGAAATAATATATATCATTTAATATATCATATATTTATCAACACAAAATGTGTTCTGAAGACAATCAGTTAACACCAGAAAACTTGTTATTTCAGTAACCTATTCATCAGAATTTAGTACCAAAAATGGAAAACCTTTAAAAAAACTGTGGTGTATATTAATTTCGATCGTGAAGAATTATACCGAGAGTCGATGTAGACGAGTAAAACGTTTCTTTAGAATCACACTACATTCCTCGCTAGATTTTTTAAATTCTACCTACACCAAATTACAAAGAAAACCAGCTGGCTATTACCTGATGAATAATAAGATTATCTAGGAGAGGACTGAAATAAGACACTGAAGTTGATGTAACCGGTCGCGAATGGAGGTGGGTATAAACTATGACGATACGTTAGAAAATTAGACTACTAGTTCGGTCGACGTTCTCATCCAAACTGCAATCATTACCCATAATATTAAGAGGAGCCTGTTATCCAAGAGAGTCCTATCAACAATTAAAATTTACTCATATGCATATTTATATATGGGATTTATCACCCACGGGAATAAGTGAATTAATTTGATCTTGATCCATTCACTCATAACTTGGTTTATTTATATGCATTAGTAACCATAAGAGTGCCCAAGTGGGGTTTATTTTATAAATAACAGTTGAACATATCTACGGTAAAAGGAGAAATTAATGTTAGGAATGCTGAACAAAACAAATGTTAAAGTAATTCCATATTGGTTTGCTTATTAGATGTATCACACAGTGAAACAGTATTATTCACTGGATGACGTTTCGAACAAAATTTATTGTTCATAATCATGTCAATTATTATCACGCGGCTTTTAAACTTGAGTTTCACAGTTTTTTTTGTAAACAGTAAATAATAATGTTTCTATAGTTTGGTTTGTAAGGGTTAGTTTTGTTTTTACGAGTTGATCACAGATTGATATCAGTTAGAGAACCATTGAAAACCATGAAGTACTGGACATCTGTTTCATCCTAGTTTGGGAATCATCGTCAGTAAGCACCCACTGCCAAGGTTCGAACCCAGGACCTTCCGATTATAAGGCAAGCTGGTATACCATTCAGCCACTGGGACCCGATTCACTGGCCAGCCCATGAATTCTAACTTCTACCAATTCGTGGTTTAGCACAATCCCAGCCATTGTCGTATGATTATAGTTGATATGCTTATGAAAAATAAATTTTGTTCGAAACGTCATCCAGTGAATAATACTGTTTCACTGTGTGATAACATCTAATAAACAAACTAATATGGAATTACTTAATACCACAGTGCCCAGATTTTACACATATATTAAAATTTTAAAGTAATGATATTTTCGGTGCAGCGTAAAAAGTTTGATTTTATGCTTACATTTCTTAATACATTTCATTATGGGAATGACGGACTTTCCTTTGATTACTGTTACCTGAAATGGTCTCTCCAAAGATGATGTCATGAAATAAGTTACTAGACATAATTTTTGGTTAACGTACTAGATTACTCTAAAGAAAATTAGTAGTATACGTACACCGCACAAAATTATCCGGAGTAAATAAGACGAAAAAGTTGTACCTTCTCCTACTGGTGATCGCTACCAGGGGAATCTCGAAACCCGTTACTCTGTATTTAAACGAGTAATGAAGATGCTAGTAAAACCCCAGTCAGGATTCTGTTGTTTCACATGCTAGGCTGCTGCTGTTGTATAGTGAACATCAGTTGTTATTTATTGAGGTGCGTGAGTTTGTATTGTTTATTCTACTGAACGGAAATGACCATTCGCGATTGGGATAGAACAAATGCTTTCATTAATAATTTGTGTTTTTAAAATGGGTAACCAGTATCAATGAGGACACCAACACAGGACTGATTGATGGCTGAAAAGTCTTCAATATGACGAAATGCATATTGTGGATTCATTACTAAGTACTATTCAGTATTTAGTCTGAAATAACAGGTGTGAAAACCACACTGTTTTGTCTTGAAGTTATTTGTCATTGTTAGTTATCTTATGATGTCAAATAATTTCGAAAAAACTCGATGTGGCTTGTTCTAAGATTTGTAAACTTTTTCAGTCAACTTAGAGACCGTATTCGTCAACGCTTATTGTAATATACAATTTCATATCATGATATTTTCAAAAGGGATTATATGTAACATCAAAAACCAAAATAAATAATTTCTGCTGGTGGAGGATGTATTCACTCTTTATTTAGTGTGCATATTGGACAAAAAAAAATATTTCTTAACAAAAATAAAACTGTAAAACACAAAGGAATCCATGATACACATTACAGATAGACAGGTATGCACCTTTTTCATTTGTTTTCCTTGAACTGACACATTTAGCCGAATCTTTGGTCAAAGGAATATCACAAGTAGAACATCGTAAACAATCCTTATGAATATAATAACCGGACAATTTTACACGTTCCAACTGGTACAAGCGTTTTTGGCAGATATAACAGTATGAACTACCCTTACGTGGAGCAAATAGACGAGCCACATTTTCAGGTATTCGAACAGGCTGTTAAAATCAAAACAAACGAATCAATAAGGTTTATTTTTATGAAATTAAAGCATAAAAATTTTAAAAAATAATAATGATGAAAACAGTTCAAACTGACTAACCAACAAGTTATTCAACATTTTAATGATGTAATTATTTTGAAATCCATTTTTTAAAAATGTAAACTAATATAGACCTGAATACAATCTGATAAGTTCAACAAATTCAATGCATTCAACTATATCATTGTAAATAGGATCATTGAAAAGACAGAAATGTTTAGCAGTTTCATTTCTTAACTGTCCCCATCATGTGACAGATAGGTGATTAAACACATGACAGTTTATACATCATTTAAAATGAAGCTGATGTAATTTAATTTGGAAACGAGCCAACCAGATAAGTGGAAACATTGAAATAGATGGAATTGTTCCAGTTCTCAGCATTCTTTTACTCACTACTTGTTTTAGAGAAAGAATGATCGATATATTATTGATCATCCACTATATGAGTGACACGGGTTTGCATTTTCTGTAATCGTAATTGAAACGAAAACCTGAATGGAGGTAGAAGACTAACATCCTAAACCAGGCAGGTCTAACTTCACTCTTCAATAGATATGTTGCCGATTCAAAAACGTTTACAGAATGTAAACATAGTATTCGTGTTGGACTTTATACACCCTGAGAATCATACACTATCTAATAGAAGTATTATACAGTGTGATTCAGTGTTGAGTAAACTGAGTAACTAGTTGATATGACGCTACTGCAAATTAAAGAGCTTTTTGAAGGGAAAATGACTAAACAGATAGCACAGTTAGATTTATTTTCTAGTCTAACACAGCCAACTAGTGTATTTGTGAAACTTCTAATGTTGTCCCTTAATACTAAATAACAGTCTTAATAGAATTCGCTCAAAACAAAAGACACTGATTAAACTCGTCGGAACATGTTCAAAAGTAATCGAGATGAAGAGAGATAATGCTATAAAAAAAATGCAGTAATGCATTACAGTCATGCTTTAAGCGTGTGCATGTGAGAGGATATCGACAGGGTTTAGTTGTTTGGATTGAAGTAAGTCACACTCACAGGTTCAAAGTTAAGTACTTAGTTTATTCACCTTCACGCTTACTGTCCTGTAAATCGTGCTGAAACTTGATCAAACAGATGCCTTACATATGATCTTTCCTACACTCTATACTAAAGAGCCTTAAAGGTTTTTCAACATGAAGATGTCGTCCAGAAAGACGATGAAAGCTCCGCAATTAAACCAAGGAGCTCAGAGAACACTATCAATTCCAAATGTTGTTAAGCTATTCAAATAAATATGGGTAATTTTGTCCTGTTTCTAGTTCATCGATGATAGAGATAAAATACTGGATACCTTTATTTTTATAAAAATCTGTGATGAGAAAACACACGTATAAAACAACTGGGTTTATTTAATTGTCCGCAGGTGATAAGATGTACAGTACAAAAGAATGATGACAACGAATATAAAGCAAAATTACAAGTGAGGTTGTTAAGCAAATAATTAACCATCTGACTAAAGTGTACAAGTTCGTGTGTTTGTGTGCGCAAGTGTATTTGTCGATGTGTTTCGCCGCCTACCAAGCTATTACGTATAACTATATGGTCGAAAGTTAGGAAACATTCGAAAACCACATGATAACTAGTAGCTAAAATCTGTATACAAAATATATCCTAGAGTGAAGTGAAATGGGGTAGTATGATGCGTCAAAATATCATACCGTAGCCACAATATAAATACAGCTAATTAATTACAGGAGATTAAATGTTCAAATAGATCCTGATATTGTATTTGGATACAAATTTGGAAAGCATGCTGTTCAACTTAAGAGATAGATAACACATATTTATCTTTCAGTTATCACTATCAGGTTGAAGTTTCGTTACCAGGTTTTCATTGTCTTTTTAAACAACATTTGGGCTTTTGTCAACTATGAGATCAATAAAATGATCAGTACCAATACAAATGAAAAATAGGATAAGAAATACTCCGGAAATAACCAGTCGCATTGAAGTTCATCAGGAAAGACACTCATCGTGTTTATGGAGAATACCACACTTCATCTTGAAGTTAGCACTGATGTTGTTTAGCAAGACAATGAAAGCTTAGCAACTAAACCATTGGGTTTCAGAGAACACATTAACATGAAAGTCATCTGCCTCAGATTCAAATCTTTTTCAGCATTTCAGAATACTATGCACCTGCATATGCGATTATTTTTCAAAATAACAAGTAGCTCGCAACACACGTCCTTTGTCGACCAAAGGGAGTATATACTACTCTGAATTTCGCTCCGTCCTCCTTTACGGCTGTGAGACCTGACCATTGAGAGTGGAGGACATGAAAAGGCCAGCTGTCTTTGACCGTAGGTGTCTGGGTTCTATCTCCCGTATCAGTTGGTATAATAGGGTGAGCAATATTGAGGCTAGGCGGGTGATAAGTAACACGGGAAAATCAATCGATGAGGCTGTGAAGTTACATCGATTGAGATGGATAGGACATATGTTACGTATGACTAGCTACCGCCTTCATCAACTGGCGACCTTAGCAGACATAGAATGGATCAAGTTGGAAAAGAGCTAGTAGTGGTCAAACCCAAAAATGGCATCAATCAATGAAATCCACAACAGTTAGTTTAAGTTCGAAACGTAGGGAATAAACCACTTAAGAGGAGAAAATGGAGATAGATCGGACGTACATTGAGCAGGCCGTCGAATGACATCTCACTCAATGCAGGCCATTGCTCGAGTGGACTCCAAATGGGAAGAGACGAGTGGGTCGTCAGTGCGAGGGTGACATGAAGGAGGTCGTGTGAGGAAGAGATGATAAGAGAGTTTGGTCAATCGTGGACCAGCTGAAGAGGATGGCACCAAACAGAAGAAAGTGGAGATATGTTGTTGAAGCCCTATGTTCCACTCAGAACCCATGGGAATAATGATAATAATAATACGTAAGGAGATGTAGACTTCCTGTAGACTGCCTGGGGTCCTCGCGATGGTAAACACCATAGGCTGTAGACAGTCGATGATATGGCTCAAAATCGTTTTCAACTGCGCAGGTGCATTCACTGTTTGTGGTTTGTCATATCCAATGAAACTACATTGTTCTTCCATATTACTGTTCCTTTTGCCTCGCATTTCTGTTTATTATCTCTGTTTTGAATCTGTTTTTACTCTCTTCTCTTGATTTGTGTGCTACATGGAGTGTGGCAACTCGAAGTGCTGCACATCAGTGTAAAGTTGTGCGTTGAAGCCAGTCTGCCAGTTACAACAAGGAAGTTCATCTAGATGACACAGAGGTAAATGAACCTAAATGTCAGCCACTGTGCGTACTCATAGTACTGGCGATGAGCCTATTTTGTGAAGAATGACTGCATACCTTCAGATGAAGCTGGGTTGAAAATATCAACTCACTGGTTACCTCAGAGTATTCAGGTAAATTTCCAGCGATTGTTTTCTTCTTGCTGGTTCACCTTCCCTACTTTTTTGTTATATTTGATAAACAAAATAACGTAGCAGACACCGTTATCATTTCAGATTAACATCCGCATGCATGTCAGTGATCGCAGTGACACCTGTAAGTTCCTCTTTGTATCAGTTACCATTTTGTTAAAATTACTTAAAGTCGTTTGAGCTTAAGCTTGTCAGCCTGTAGTAGAATGTATGTCACAGGTATGTACCAATTAATTCATGTTGACCACACGTTTATTAAGCGAAACCGACCAATCAGAAAACTTCGTTATTTTGTAATACACCTATGACTCATGCGAAAATTTACTGTGCTTGTCATTGTCAAGGTGACCGTCAATAAAGGAAAGTCGTTTATTGACAAGTAGCTTTTTTGACTATGGATTTTTTAAAAACAAACAAACAACTGTTTAATTACATTCAGCCTTATCACTTTGGAAGTAATAAAAATACATGAGCCTAGAACACTTCATTAGGGGATTTCAACTGATCACACATTGATTGTTAACAAACAAATCGATAGACATTCAATGGTATGAAGTGTATTGTAAAACCAATCCACAAGTTTCTGTTTGGAAACCGTCAAAATATGAACCATTCGTCTGTAGAACAAGGTGAATGCAGTCACATATGAGACTCGGTTTTCAATTATGCGTCGGTTAATGAAATCACAGAATGCATCCTTTTTTGTCGCTGATAGGCAGTAAAAGCAGAAACTGTTTGTTTAAAGAAACAGAAAAGAGATGCGTAGTGATAACAATTCATCAACTAATATATATGGAGAAAAGAGTTATGAATTTTCACTACGCAACAAACCAGTAGAAAGTATTGATAACTATCGATATAGGATATGTGTAAGATAATTAAGACAGCACAATGGTAGATTGGAAGATAGAACAAGAATTTAGAGACAATGTCATCACGATAATAATATGTTGTAAGATGGAACTAAAAAATGATGACCTAGTAAAGTTCACTTATACTGTCTCAATCACCAGTGTTAGATAATATGTACATCCATTTACGGAAGCATATGTGCCTAACATCCTACACAAATTATGTACATGAGAAATAATACGTCACTTGGTTTCAGACGAATCGGGGAGAATTCTCAAATCCCCAGTTTTAACTCAACTACGATCTATTAACAGACGTAGTTTCGTGTTGCTGGTTTTTATTTATTATTCCCTTGCGTTTTGAGTGGGACATAGGGCTTCAACAACATATCTCCACTTTCTTCTGTTTGGTGCCATCCTCTTCAGCTGGGTCCACGATTGACCAAACTCTCTTATCATCTCTTCCTCACACGACCTCCTTCATGTCACCCTCGCACTGACGACCCACTCGTCTCTTCCCATTTGGAGTCCACTCGAGCAATGGCCTGCATTGAGTGAGATGTCATTCGACGGCCTGCTCAATGTACGTCCGATCTATCTCCACTTTCTCCTACATATTTGTTGAGAGATTAGCTCTTGCATGTTGGTTTGTTCCAATAGTTTCTTGTTGTTTATTCTTTCT